AAGCGATCAACGAGTCAATGAAAGAATATTTCTCTCTTCTTCATTGTGTGAGGCCCCAAAAAGTTAAAATGACTTTTCAATGAAATACTCTTTGACCTTTTGTTGTTTCTTAATGCCTCAATCTATATTGCTATTTTAGTATGTTACTTATAGCCATGAAAGATTAGACAATGCAGTTGAATAGGAACAGATAGATTCGAGCAGAAAGGAATTGAAAGACAATTAGTTGAATAATAAACTTGTTGTATATACAAGCCTGTTATTGCACTAATCGTATTTATATTGAGTGTAATTATGTGTATAAAGTTAAACATAAACTCAAGCTAACCTCTTTAAGAGAATGAGTGATCAAATAAGTAACTAATGAAGTAGTGAACAAAGTCTGGGATGTTGTGAGTAATAATATTCTTATATAAGTAGTGAATTCATTCCACGTGTGATTGAATTCCTATGTGGTGCTTGTAAAACCTTAAGAATAAGCTCTTGATGCTTAAATATGGTACGAACTATTTTTCATATGAATTGTATGTCTAGTTCACGTTGTGCTGGCTTGTCCACCATGTGCGAAGTGAGAGATGTAAGTTTTGGGTTGTTGATCGCCCATATGGACTGACAAGAACCCCAACTTGTGATCTGTAAAGAGATAAGTATTAATTTAAAATAAGGGATAAAACAATAATGTAACTGTTCCAACGTAAATAAATCCTTATTTCAAATAGATGTTTTTCGCTCTTAAAATGAACAGGATGAAGAACAGTAAAAACTCAAAAAGAGAATAATAAATCTTCTTAGATTAAAAAAAATATTTAGTTTGTGAAACACTGTTTTTATTTCCTACTGATGCAAATAAGGTTTTAGAACAAATCTTTCGATTTGTAAATTTTATTCCTTGCAACGATCAAAGCACACAAATATTGTACCAAATGTTATTTAAATTCTATTAGTTTCCAAAATAAATAAATAAAATAATAAAATCATCTCATTTGCTTTGTTTATTTATTTTTATGTTTATTTATTTTTACAATAGATTTTTTTATTTTATCTTGATCGGTTAAATCTATATATCTTAGGCAATTATGAAAGAGTTGAATTTCATTAGGACACACAGAAAAAAGTTGTAAATTCAAAATAATGTTTTCGTTTATTTATGATATTATTATGCTATCATTTTTGTTATTTCTGGTTATAAACCCAATTATATCAATAGCTTATCATATTAATATCGGAATCAACATAAACAGAAAATGCATCAAAGGTACTCCCTCTTTTCCTTCTTCCTTGTCCAATCTTAACTTTTTATTTATCATTTTTGATAAATCGAAAAATAGATCATTATTAATTTCATCTATTATATTCATAATTTATTTGCAGATTTAATGCTTTTCCGATTATACCAAACAGACAAATATCATATAATAAATTGCTAGCTACTTGCAAGTCAACCTTCTCCATATTACTTGAACAAAAACAAAATCCCCCAACAAATATTGTTTCTTATAAATGAAATTAAATAAAACACAGACCTTTGAGTATTAAACTAGACAACTATGATATTTTATAAATAGTTGCACTCGCCTTTCCTTAAAAACTCTACGCGTCCTATTAGAGTAAAGCATGCTCTCGAAAAGGATTAACAAGACCAGATACATCGACAAAATTGAGTAGGTAAAGATGGGTCACTCCAACAGAGAGCTTTGACACTTAAACCGTGTCGATTTTGACATTCGTTCCAGCATTGCACCCCAGGCTCGCTTCCTTCGCAGTCTATTGTCACCCACGGCAGCCCTTCGCTACATTCTTTAGCCTCAATCCCTATAACACATCAACAAAATTTCGTTAACATCTCGTCTAAATTTAAATGACATAATTTGATCACATGTCAAGTTTTAATACCATATATAGAAAAATATGGACCGGAGTATTATTTTTTAAAAATAACAACATATTCAATGAATTTCATAAAGTAAGATATCGAGAGAGTAAAGTGTAAACATATTTGTTGACCATGTTAGCGATAAAGAAATTGTTTATGATAAACTTTCGTCTCAATAACAAATTCCAAATTAAAATGAGGAAATAAAAACAAATTATTTTTTAAATAAAATAAAATTGAGACACTTATATTAAAAGTGAGGAATTGCAAAATACCTGAGAGAAGGAATGCAATGAAAAGAATGGCATAAAGATATTTTGAGACGCTGAACTTTCTCATTTTTTTTAAAAAAAAATATTGTGAGGTTATGAAATTGTGTCTTATTAACACTTCTTTCTCTTCATTTATAGTAGAGTTATGGGAATATATATGGAAAATTAATATTACTTGTATATTTATTTTGTGAGTTTTTGATTTAGTGATCATTCATTCGTATCAAATCTTCACTTTTCCCTATTTATTAGGGTATGCCATTTACTTAAGCAGATCATTTGATAATCTTTGGAAGATAAATGCTAAATAACCAGAAAGTTTGGTCAGAATTTAGCTAGAAATTTTTAAAAAAATTATAATATTTTTTAAAAATAAAGTGATTTCTTTTTTTTTTAATTAAAATGTATTAAAGTTATAAGAATAAAATATTTAAAAAAGTAAAATAATATAGGTAAAATACCATTTTGATTAATTTTTCTTGCCAAAATGATTTTTTTAATATCACCTATTGTTATTTCTGCTTCTTTTAGTCTTGAAAATTGAGTATAATTATATCATTTCACATTTTTACTTAAATCAAAAAAAAATAATGAATATATTCATAAAAGAGGTTTTACCTTCTTGAAAAAAATTTAACTTTCTAAATAAATTAAGGATATGATAGGTAAAAGATATTATGTTTTATAAGTTATCAAAAATTATAAATAAAAAAGGAAAAAGACTCAAATATGTCATCGAACTTTTAGAAAAGGATTATTTATGTCATCAGTTAAAAGTTTGGCTCATTTATGTCATTACTGTTAAAGAAAAGGCTCATTCATGCCATTATATTTATGGTGGTTTTGCAAAACCATTTTTGACACGTTTCCAATTATAATTCGGTCATGTCATATTATTAATTTAAAAAAATAATTCAATTTTTATTTAGAATTTTTATTTTTTTATTTAAAAAATTGATGACGTGGCCAGTGATAATTCGGCCAACTCATCAATTTATTTAATAAAAAATAATTAATTCAATTTTTTTTTTCCAAAATTGTGATTTTTTTTATTAAAAAAATTGAAGACGTGGCCGAATTATAATTGGCCACATGTCAAAAATGGTTTTACAAAATCACCGTTAAAAAATAATGGCATGAATGAGCCTTTTCTTTAACGATAATAGTATAAATGAGCTAAACTTTTAACTGATGACATAAATAAACCTTTTTCTGAAAGTACAATCTACAATGACATATTTGAATCTTTTCCCGATAAAAAATCAAAATTGAAAGGATTGAATAAAGTAACATATATTTGGAGATGTTATACATTAAATGTGAATATCATATATTATTGATTTACTGTTTTTGAGATAGGAAAATATTTATCCTACATATAGTACCCACTTGGTTTCGACCATGGATCATCTCAATAGGTTTCGCTATATGAAATAATTTAGAGTTAGTTTGGTATGATTGATAATCTTTTTTTGTGTTCGATTGAAAATAAATTTAGAAAATTTTAGGAAAATAAATTCTTATATAAATTATAGTTTATATTAATTATCTATATCCACCTTTGGTATAAACCCCTCCCCCCTCTCCTCCCTCAGAGAACCCCCACTCCACTACCCCACAACCTCCCATGCAAATGTTAATAGTCTTCTTAAATTATATATAAATATTTTTAAAATAATATCTTTTATTTATTTACCAAAAATATAAATAAAACGAGTAAGAAAATCAATCACATACTCTTTTAGGAAAAAAAATCTCCATGAAAGCATTTTTGATTACCCCAACACACTCGAAGGGGCTAGATTATGGCTTGTGGTCCAAAATATTTTTAAAAAAAAATTAAATCAATTCTCATTAAACAAAAAGATAAATAAAGTCCCAAATCAAAAAATCTATTCTTTTCTAAGTGTTTTATTTTTCTTTTTTATTTCCATTGACTAAATTTAGTTAACAAAAAGATAAATAAAGTCCCAAATCAAAAATTCTATTCTTTTCTAAGTTTTTTATTTTTACTTTTTATTTTCATTGACTAAATTTAGTTTGATCGATGAGATATTCGTTTTTGTTTTTATATAATATTCGTTTACGAGCGTAATAGAAATTGTAATTATTGCGTATAGATTTCTTTCTCATAATTAAATCCTTGTCTATAAAAGATAGTGTTTAATTTTCCTTTTTCTTTCTTCTATTATGTACCGAAAATTAGCTTATTGCGCAGATAATATTTGAATTATTTCATTCTTATTTTAGATATCCGTACGAATATTCCAAGTGTTTGGCACTAATGATGATTGTAATCCGGTCACGTCCAAAAGTATCTTACTAGGGGTCTCGGTTGTTGTTTCCCTGGACCCGGGATCAAGAACCAATCTATAACCTCGCAAAAAAATTATGTATATAATGTTGGGTTGATTTAGTCTCAAATTGACTTTTTTAATTAAAAGCAAATCAATTTAATTATAGTCAGTTTTGTTTTTTCAATACCAAATCAAGTTAAACTAAATCATTAATTATTTTTTATATTTGAGTTGATCTATGATTTATTTCAATTTTTCAATTGAATTTGATACACCCCTAGTACCACATATAAACATAAAAGTATTGTAGTAGTACTTTAGTATTTTAGGGATTAACAAGGACAACCACACCGCCAAAATTGAGTGGGTAAAGGATATGTGAATTTTGAAACTATCAAGACGAAATTATCAAATAGAAATACTACAAATAATCAATAAACTAAAAATAAATTAATGATTTTATTAGATTAAGTAGATAGGTATGTTTAATTTTTTTTTTTATGATGTCCTTGATGTAACGAGAACTGATAAATAAATAATAATATTTTTATCCCCAAATTCAAACCATCATCAAGGCTCAAATCATTATTTCAAATAAAACTCAAGAAACGTACAATCACACCATCTACATAAAACTCACATTTCTGTGCAATCGATATCGAATTTCGATATATTAAATCTTAATCATTAATTTTAACAGGGCCAAGTACACCAACAAATCTGAGTGGGTATACCAATAATGTCTCTACAGCTGGCTTTGACATCCATACCGTGCCTTTGTTGACACGCTACCCAGCAGTTGCCCTGCGCCACCTCGCCTCGGCAATGCGTTGTCACCCACGGCAGCCCTTCGTTACAGTCTTTGCCCTCGATTACATAAACTATGTCATCGTAGAAAAAATAATTTAATTTACCTTCAAAACTTAAACTAATATTGATCTAGTCGATCAATTATAATTAACATTGATGAAAAATTAAATACCTGAGAGAAGAAACACGATAGCACAAAGAGATTTTGTGATGCAAAGCTTTGCCATTGATCTAATATTTGAGATTGTGAAAATGTGTCTGTTTAAGCTTCTTTCGCTTCATTTATATATAGGCAGTGTTTATACTCCATAATGCTAAAGATTTTTTTTCATCTTTATCTTTAATTAACGCAATCCAAATATTAAAAATTACAAATTTTAGTATTCAAAAATTCAAATTTCAACTAAAATTAATGACCAAATTAAGCATAATTGTCCGTGAATGAATTTAACCATAACCATAATTGCCCATAAATGGACAAATGGGAATTAAAGAGCCTAATGAATTATCCATAATTGCCTATTCATGGGTTACGCTCAATATTTTGATGTTTGAAACGTTTATGGAAAATTAGTTTTAGTTCTAATACTATGAGTTGATTTTTATTTGTCAATATTTTGATGTTTAAAATATTTATGAAATAATATTTTTTGTTCTCATACTCTGAGTTGATTTTTACTTATCAATATTTTGATGTTTGAAATACTTATGGAAAATTATTTTGAAGTTCTAATACTTTGAATTGGTTTTTATTTGTCAATATTTTGTTGTTTGAAATATTTAAGGAAAATTATATTTAGTTCTAATACTCAGAATTGATTTTTATTTGTCAATATTTTGAAAGTTTGAAATATTTATCGAAAATTATTTTTTGCTCTAGTACTTTGAATTGAATTTTATTTGTCAATATTTTGATGTTTGAAATATTTACGAAAAATTATTTTTAGATACTCAGAATTGATTTTTATTTGTCAATATTTTGATGTTTGAAATAATTATGGAAAATTATTTTTAGATCTAATAATCAGAATTGATTTTTATTTATCATTATTTTTTGTTTGAAATATTTATAGAAAATTAGTTTTAGTTCTAATACTCAGAATTGAATTTTATTTATCATTATTTTTTGTTTGAAATGTTTATGGAAAATTAGTTTTTTATCTAATACTCAGAATTGATTTTTATTTGTTAATATTTTGATGTTTGAAATATTTATGGAAAATTATTATTAGATCTAATACTCAGAATTGATTTTTATTTGTCAATAATTTAATGTTTGAAATATTTATGGAAAATTATTTTTAGATCTAATATTCAGAATTGATTTTTATTTGTCAATAATTTGATGTTTGAAATATTTCTGGAAAATTATTTTTAGATCTAATACTCAGAATTGATTTTTATTTGTCAATATTTTGATGTTTGAAATGTTTGATGGAATTTTTTTTTAGTTCTAATACTCTGAATTGATTTTTATTTATCAATATTTTGATGTTTGAAATGTTTATGAAAAATTATTTTTAGTAGTTCTAATACTCTGAATTGATTTTTATCATCAAATTTTTTTTGTTTGAAATATTAATGGAAAAGAATTTGTATACCTATTTTATCCTTATTATTTAGTATTATTTATTTTTCAATATTTAGATAATTCATAATAATTGAGGGCGAATTTATTAAATTATTATTTCATTTATTATTTCTTAAAAAGATATGTCATTCAAATCTAGACAAGTAAATATGGATAAAATAAGTGTTTATTGTACACGATCTTTCTCATTATAGCAAATCTGCAGAACATTTCACAAATTTTCTATACTCTTTCCTCAATTTGTTATGTAACTCTTCAAAGTCTCTCTAAATTGTTCTCTATTTGTTATCAAAATAAAATTAAAAAAATAGTAAAATCGTCTCATTTGCTTCGTTTATTTGTGTTTGTTGAAGTTTTATAAATTAAATTGTCAACGTTTGCATAATAGTTTTAAATTTTATCTTGAGTGAAATAAATTCGTATATCTTGGCAATTATGAAAGAGCTAAATTTCTTTAAGAACACACAAAAAATTGTGAGTTCAAATAAATTTTGTCGTTATTATTAAGCTAACATTTTTGTTTATCTGGTTATCAACACAATAATATCAATACCTTAATTAATTTAATATTGTATAATATTAATATTGAAATCAACAAAAACAGAGAATGTAGCAAAGATATGTGATCAACACAAATGTTGTATAATACGACGTGATTTTTCCAATAGAGAATGTAAATTGCGATAGTACTTCATCACAATTTTAAAAAAGGTCCTTTCCTCGATAATCCTTTCATTTCAATTTCCATATGATATGTTCTTAGATCACAGATATTAAAAATCAATTCGTTATGTATGACATATCTTTTAGTTTAACTCTATAAAATTTAAAAATCTTTTGAATTTTCAAAAAATTTCATTACAAGTAAAAATCAAACAAACAAATTAAACAAACAGATAAACATCATATACTAATTAATTGCTAATCAATTTTCTCCATATATATTACTTGAACAAAAACAAAAACCCCAACACATATATTGTTGCTTATAAATGAAAAATTAAACAAAACATAGACCTTTTAGTATTAAACTAGACAACTATGATATATTTTTCTTATATATATATATATAGATGGCGCTCGCCTTCTCTGAGAAACTGTACGCGTCCTACTAGGGTAAAGCATGCTCTCGAAATGGACTAACAAGACCAGACACATCGGCAAAATTGAGTAGGTAAAGATGAGTCACTCCAGCAGAGAGCTTTGACACTTAAACCATGTGATTTTGACATTCGTTCCAGCATTGCACCCCAGGCTCGCTTCCCTCGCAGTCTATTGTCACCCACGGCAGCCCTTCGCTACATTCTTTTGCCTCAATTCCTATAACACATCAACAAAATTTCGTTAACATCTCGTCTAAATTTAAATGACTTAATTTGATCACATGTCAAGTTTTAATACCATATATAGAAAAATATGGACAGGAGTATTATTTTTTAAAAATAACAACAACACATTCGATGAATTCCATAAAGTAAGGTATTGAGAGAGTAAAGTGTAAACATATTTGTTGATCATGATAGAGATAAAGAAGTTGTATATGATAAACCTTCGTCTCAAGAACACATTCCAAATTAAAATGAGGAAATAAAAACAAATTATTTTAAAAATAAAATAAAATTGAGACACTTATATTAAAAGTGAGGAATTGCAAAATACCTGAGATAAGGAATGCAATGGAAAGAATGGCATAAAGAAATTTTGAGACGCTGAACTTTTTCATTTTTTTTTAATATTGTGAGGTTATGAAATAGTGACTTATTAACACTTCTTGCTCTTCATTTATAGTAGAGTTATGGGAATATTTATGGAAAATTAATATTACTTGTATATTTATTGTGTGAGTTTTTGATTTAGTGATCATTCATTCGTATCAAATCTTCACTTTTCCCTATTTATTATGGTATGCCACTCTTTAATTACTTGTATGATTTTTTTTTTACATGTTTATTTTGATAGGAAAGGTGAAATTGCTTTGTCAGCGTCATAAAAATTTTACTTTTTAAATAGTTAAAATTATTTTAAAAGATAATTTTAAATTAGTCCATGAAAATAGGGTGTACCAGTAAATCTCTATTTATTATTTTTCCTTAAAAACTCTATAAATAATGTATGTGTTCTTTTTTTTTTGGAAAAATATTTGTAAATTTAAATCTTCTTTCCACGTTCTCCTAATTTAAAGAATATAATAATAAAATAATAATAATAATTAATTAAAGAAATCTAAAATCCCAAAATAAAAGTAATTAACTCAACTTTGTAGAAAATATTTTTAACTATCTTTCCATTTAAAAAAATATTATTAAATTATATCAAGATAACATGACTTATTTTTATTTAATAATAGAAATTTGAATCCTCATAAAAAAAAAAGAAGACAAAGAAGCCACGTTGTTTAAGGAAAAAACTTAAATTAGCCAGGATAAGATTTTAAATAATTAATTTAAAATTTGAATTTCAAATAATAACTAACCTTATCCCTAAATAAAACATCTAAACATCATAACTCATATCTTTGGAAAATAACTACATCATCCACATCTTCTTAAATCAACTCTTCAAAATATGACTCCAACATGTGTAAAGAAAAATCCAATGACACTTACAAAGATCATAAAAACATATTTAGAGGACGTATCATAGTATATTGTGAGTATATAATTTTTCTTTCTCAATTATTTGATTATGATTGAACGAAAAAAAAATTAACGATAAAAAAATGGAGAAATTCTAAAAAAGTTTACGGCGGATGATCATGTTTTCTTCCGTGTTTGATTTTTGTTTTATATATCATGTTTATTTTAATTTATTTATTTTGTTTCATGTTAGACTCCTCTTTTATCTATTTTTGTTTTTCTTTGTTTCAACAGATTGTAACCATATAATTGGAGGTAGCGGCTTTGTTGGCTCTGCAATATGCAATGATGTAGTGTCAAAGAGTATAGAGATCACAAGTTTGAAAAGGTATATGTAATATAAAAGGTATATGTAATATATGATTAAGTAGTTTAATATGTATTTCAATTAAATTTTTTTCTTTTTATTTGTATAATGGTCAAATTCATTCTTTTTTTAAGGGATTGAAGATATAATATATATATATATATATATATATATATATATATATATATATATATATATATAA